AGAAGAAGAAGAAGAAGAAGAAGAAGAAGAAGAAGAAGAAGAAGAAGAAGAAGAAGAAGAAGAAGACTACCATTTAGTATTTTCTTGCTTACCTTAGCTGTCATATACATCAGATTATTAAGCACCAATGATGTGGCTTCTGGTGAGCCCCAGCCATTTCCCTTTAAGCCACATGAAACAGTTACTTCTCCATCCTTATCCTTTATTTCATCTTCAGGGGTAGTAGGACTTGAACCTGGGAGAAGAAGTCTGCTGTCCACTAGCTCAATGTTATGAAGCCAGGGTAGCAAGTAGGTGAGCATGATCTGACGCCCATTTGGGTGAGTTGTTGGAAATCGTTGACTTACTTCTAAAATTGAAAAAAACAAACACTCCTAGGACCGTAGCTTTAGGGGAAAGACAATGAAGCATTTAGTTCCAACAATAAATTCTGTCAAATATATTTCTTCTGATAAAATGTCAAAAGGTGAGTTCAACGTTTTTTATTATAAAGACAGAAGTAGCACATATTTTATTTCCAGCAACCAACAGAGAAGCAGAGTCTTTGTAGAACAGCGATTAGATGTTGGACTAGGAGCAGGAAGATCAAGATTACGGATCTACTCACTCAAAGGCTCACTGGGAGAGTTTGGGCCAGTCTCTCAACTGAATCAAATTTACTGCTTATTTACTTTTCCTTATTCAGCCCATTATTAAACTTTGATTATATTCCAAGCACAATTTTTACAAATAAATAGTATCTAAAGATAAATGCATTAAGAGGAACATATGAGCTTTTAAACAGTTACTCAAAAGTTTCAAATATGTAGGGTAACTACAATGAGATAAAGTAAGTTAATAAAAATTCTTCTTGTTATTCAAGTAGTATAAGAAAATTGGAATCATATCTTTAGATCAGGTGTGTCCAACCTATGGTCCATGGGCTGCATGTGGCCCCTGACAGCTAGTAATGCAGCCCCATAAGATCATAAACCTGTAACATTATGTGATTTATATATGTTAACTATATTACAGATTTTATATGTGGCCCAAGACAATTCCTCTCAATGAGGCCCAGGCAAGCCAAACGGTTGGAAACTCATGCTTTCGATGCTGATGTACTGTAGTTCTACTGCTTTTGCCATATATAAAGGGGGGGGGGGAACCCCTAAAGATGCAGAACCATGTCCTATAGTTATAATAGTTTACATATATGATATGTTTGCAGATCCACTACTAAAGCTAAAGATATGAATAGAAAATTGTACCTGAAAACAATGGAAGTGTCAGCTCAGGGTACATTCTTGCCAGTTCGTAGGACAGATGAGCTAATGAGACACTGTAAAGTGGTGGCAAAGGACCATGAGTCCCATAAAGAATGCTGCCAGGTCTTCGCTCAGCTATTTTCTTGGAATAAATAAAAAGTTTTGTTTCCAAAATCTGTCAGAAGAGTAAAAAGAAACAGAAATGATATAGATGATAAATGAATGATAGAGTATTCTTGAAAATAAATTTTAATGGATTATTCAGATTAGCAGTCTCTATCTATGCCCGGGATGGCGAACCTATGGTACGTGTGCCACAGGTGGCAAGCAGACTCATTTGTCAGGGCATGCGAGGCATGGCCCTGTCAGCTGGCCAGCGCAGTTCAGCCTTTTTTAAAGCCATTTTTCACCCTCCCCAGACTCCAGAGACTTTATAGGAGCCAAGAGAGCGCAAAAACAGGCCCCCCCAGAGGCCCTCCGGAGGCTTCAAGAGCTTCCCTAAAGCCTCCAAAGTGCAAAAAACCGGCCCTACGGGCAAACCACAAATTCAGGAATGGACTTCTGGTTTGCTCGTAGGGCTGGTTTAAGCCCTCCAGAGCCTTCAGGGACCTTCCGGAGGCTTCCCTAAAGGCACCAGAGGACGAAAAATGAGCAAACCAGCCCATAGGGCTGGTTTAAGGCTAAAGGCATGCACTGGCCAGCTGGCCAGGGAAGCCTCTGGAAGACCCTTGAAGGCTCCGGAGGGCTTAAACCAGCCCTACGAGCAAACCAGAAGTGACTTCCAGTTTTGCTCGTGGGGTCCTTTTTCATCCTCCGGAGCCTTCAGGGAAGCTCCTGAAGCCTCCCGAGGGCCTCCAGGGGGACTGGGGAGGCTGTTTTCACCCTCCCCAGGCTCCTCTAAAGCCTCTGGAGCCTGAGGAGGGTGAAAAAAACATGCAAAAAATGGGGGGGAGTGCCTGTCATGCACACATGCGCACTGGGGGGGGGTCACACATTGCATTATGGGTGTGGCACATCTGCGCACGACCCCCCCTGCACTCTCCCTGCTTTTGGACACGAGACAAAAACGTTTGCCATCACTGGTCTATGCTTTTGTATCTACTACCAAAGATAAAAAATTTCATATGTATTTGGGTTACCACAGATTTGGTCCTCCTTCCCTTTTCCTCCCATAAGGAACTCAACTCATCTTTAGCTGTTCCAGACCAAACAATTTTTGCCAGGGATTTAGTCTAGAAAATCTGATGGATAGATGATATGGTTGCTTCACAATCAGGGGAGGAACGGTCCCATTCTGGTTGACTGCATGGAGCTCTTGCAGGAACTAGACCCTCGCCTCTATGCCGGAAAGGGCTCTCTATGGCCACTTGGGCATAAATTGCAGGACCCACTGGTTATTTGACTTCTTCAGAAACATGTCTTTCTAATGCCTGATTGTACTTTTCAATAATGCTAGCTAGTCTAAAGCAGAATTCTTAGAAACACAAGTTTAGTGAAAGCACATTAGAAGTGAATTTAAAATAATACAGAGAATGTCTGGTGGCTGTTTTCCCATTGACTGATAACATTTGGGAAACAAAGCAAATTCAGGGAAATCCACCAGTAGTTGTCCTTTATTTGTTCTGCATTAAAACAACAAATAGGTAATGTCCTTCTGAATGTAAAGCAAACTGTATAATTGTTTACTCTTCCTTATAGTTTATAAAATTTTTTAAAAAAAATCATACATGCCTGCATGAGTTGCATGGAAATTTCATAAATCTCTCTGCTGGTGTCAGATGCTTTAAACAAGACTAGATTTAAAAGAGTCACAATGTCAAAAGGGTAGTTCCTGAAATAGCAAACAAAAGTGATTGTTTGAGATTTTTAAGTTTAAATGAACATTCTCAATTGTTTTCCACAAAATAATACACTCAAAGCAACAAACTCAATAACCTAACAGTTATAGAAAACAATGAACTATTTCAAACATAATGAATTCTCTTTCTTTTTCCAAAAGACAACTATATAGCACTAGCACTTCAAAATGTATGCAGTCCTATCAAAACATGAACATATACCGTATTTTTGCACTATAAGACACACCTGACCACCTTGCCATAGGATGCACCTAGGTTTAGAGGAGGAAAATAAAAAATATATATATCAGGCAGAGCCTGAGAGGACCACAGATAGGTGTCCTCTCATGTGCCAGCTCTGTCTATTAACTCCTGCAGGGTGGAAAAGAAGAGACAGGCAATGACAAAGACAGAAGAGTCGGGGTTCAGCACGATAAAAGGACCCCGCCACTGCGGCCCGGCTGCTATTCACCAAAGGACCAGCACCGACACTCAGACATTACTACCCACTGTTTTTTTTGGGGGGGGGGGTGCGTCTTATGGAGTGAGAAATACAGTAATTTAAGTTTATCCTTTTCAAAAGTTCTAGGGTAATTTATTTTTAATTTTTACATGGCTGCTGATTCACTCGCAAGGACCACTTTTTCTGCTTTGCTTATTGTTGATACCTGCTTCCACACACAGTTGCAATGGCTTTGAAGCATCCTGAAGCAAGCTGATAGGATCCAGTATAACATCGATCTATAGCCCAGTTAAAGAGATTGATTTGGTCAGGATTCAACTCCAACAATAAGACAACAACTTCACAGCCAAGCTGATGAACCTGAAAACGCAGAGAATGGGTAAGGGGTTTTAAAACAACAGTAATAGTGTTTTATATCAACAACTGACAAAAACTCATTGAGATCAATATTCTGTTTTGTTTGTTTGTCAAACTTGGGGTGCTGATAAACATGACATTAAGAGGCAAGATTAGGTAATTCAGAGACAACACATGATGTCTCTTAGGCCATTTTGTAGCACCTCATTAGTTATTGAGATTTGAATGCTCACAATGTTAAGCATGTTCTTTTTTTAACATTGTTTTGTTAAAATGTTTCCTTTAATTCTTTGCAATTTTGTCATATTTGTTTAGACTGCTCCTTCTTACTTCCCACCTCCTCTGGTCTTATCTACTTGGCACTATCCCTATCCACCCCTTCAATGCCATTCCTTTTTTTTAAAGCAATCTTTGGAGAACCATTTAGAGAAAAAATGAGGCAGTTACCAAAACATTAATGATCCCAGGAAAATAAGATGGAAAGAAACTTATTTTACTTGCTTGTTTGTATATAATATTGGAATAGCTGCTCATTTTATATAGCATAAACCTGGGTGGCTCACAAAAAAGATTTTTTAATAAAAGTCACTCTGCCTTGACTCTCTGGTATAAAAGGAAGGGAAGGGAAAACTCAGAGGCTTCAAGGTTTTATTACTCTATCCTGTATCAATAAATAGAACACCAGTATTTCTTCTGGAGTCTGTTTCTTGACCTGGCCTACCTCAACGGGCTAACTGTGATGAAAATAGTCTGGATTCCTAGGAAGGAAGAAGTACAGTACATTCCAGAGAAGTAAGTGACAACTCAGTTCAGATTATTTGTCTGAAAGAAAGAGGTTAAAGACAACTCCTCCTTAATGGGCCCTACAGTATATGCTTTATGAGGGTTTGGTTTGCTTTAGTTGGCAAGATTCTGTCCACAGGTGAGGAATAATGAAGAAATCTGCTTGGAAGAATCACAATGTGTCTTTCTTGTTTTTGGAGCCTGTCACAAGCAAAAAACCCAAATGTTACCTATAATTACTGCTATACAATGGTCCTTACCTTCCTGGTATTCTTATATACATATATTTAATTTGGGATATTTTAAAACAATTTTGTATAATAGCCATTGCAAGAAAGGGATCTTCATTAATTCCAATATCCAAAATTGTAACGGATTGCATATTTGCTTCCCCTGAACTTTCTAATCTTTTTTTTTTTTAATTCACTGAACTAGTTGAATTTCCCTTTTGTGAAGTTTAAGGTAAAATATTTTTTCAGGCCAGAAATTATTGCCAGTCCTTGTGGTTCACAGTACACATTATATTAAGAAGTGGCAATTTCCTGTCAACATTTTGTTCATGCTCTAAAATATTTTATAAATCTATTGTGATTAGCGCCTCCCCCCCCCCCAATGCATCCATCCATTTACCTGCCCAACTATCTACTCACTTAGTCCCTATTACTTATTTGGAAAGACCATCTAGTTCTAGTCCCACCTTAGCCATGAATTCAAACTATACAAAATATTTTAAATGTAATACCATTTCCTAAGGTAATTTCCCTTGATGCAAATCTTTCTATTCAGATGTTCTTAAAAATAAAAATAATTGCTAAGTCAAAGCTCCCATGTGGCCTGACCTAATTTTAAAGTAATTGTTCAGATAATCATGTGGTTGTAAATCTAAACACATTCTTCAGAATAAGTGGATTTTTGCTGAAAACTAGCAAAAAACATCATACATCTCAGTCACATAATTGTGAGATTAATTTATTAAATTTGTTTGCCATCCATCTCGCTGTAAGGAATGCTGCAACGAGTCCTAAACATGAACTGTTTGCCAAGCACCTGAAATGTGACCATAGAGGGATGGGTGGGGGTGGGGGTGGTAACATTTTTTGATGGCCAGAAGTGCTTTAAGGGCTGTAAACCACAGTTTCTGATGCCAGCATAACTTTGATTGACCATTAAATGGCCACTCATAAGTCAAGGATAACCTATATTTCTTAAGACTACTGCCACAGTACAAACACTAAACAAATTCCATTTGAATCACAATGAATTCATCCTTAGAGTAGACCATGTGCAATAAAAATAAAATGTAATACATTTAAAAGTAAGAATCATTGCTGAGGTACTTACCCGTAAATCTTGGCAAGCTAGAATATTATCAAGCCATTTATAAAGATAGCCATCAGGGGAAAGGCCCACATTGTCAAACACAGGGCCACAGCACAGCACTGCTGACATGGCCTAATTAAAAAAGAGAGAGGATATGGTCCTGTTTACTGAAAGGTTATCAGTTTCAAATTCTAAACAAAAGGCAACAAGTCAAACAATGTAGTAATGAAGATTAATCATATAGACTCCATGTTGTCAGTCATGTCTGCAGAAAACATATTTCCAAATGATGCAATGGCCCAATTATACTCTTCATTGCTTTTCTGCAAATGTATTGCAATGTCATTCCTCTTCTATTCCAAGGGTCCCTGAAATATCAGGTACTTCCTGGGCAAAGCATGTAGATATTATGTGTTCCCCAAATTGTGTTTTCTAAACCAGTTAGTATGCTTGCATGCTGCCAGAACTATAGTAAGGAAAGATGACTATATATGGATGATTGCATTACATTGGGTTAAATGTCTTGTGGCAGGAAGTTAATGTAATTCTTGAATGACTAGGTAGTTCTTGGTTTAATTTAATATTCCAGGTAACACTTTTTGGGTTTCTCTGCTCTTATTATCACTCTTCCTGAACCAATTTAATATGAATTAACACAGTCAATTTTGCATTTCCAAGTTAATCTTAATTGAAATATTTACAATATTTATGAATCATTTTTCAAATGAGACATTCAAGATTTAGAAAAAGAACAGACCACAAAGATGCACCAAATAATTTGTTACTTTGGATAAACTATTCCAAATTTAACTTGCCTTACCACTTTTCATTTCTAAATTTAAAATAATTTAATTTGATAAAAATTTATATGCAATGGAAGGAATCATGATGTACCTTTAAAGCACAATACTGGTATCTTGTAATCTGATGATTTCTATCACTATAACGATCCAGAGGTGTAAACATGATACTGAAAGGTCCAGCCCATTGACTAAACAGGATGAAGAGGTGGTGCCTCAAGCTTTGCTGAGGGAAAAGAAATCTCCTATGATGAACTGAGTGAATAAAAAAATAAAAAACATTATCAATAAAAGAATATTGTATTGATTATTTTATCAAAACTGAAACATAAATCTGATGCAAAAATGAATAGCTAAGGAATTATTCCTAAAACACATTAATAATATTTGTCAAGTATATATTTATTGGAAAGGAAAGAGCCTTGAATTTAAGATTATCTCATGTAAAAAAAGTAATTTATTCTTAGGTAAATAAATATACACAATACAAAGAATGTGATGTGGTAAGAGAGAGATTTGCTCAGAAACAAATATGGATTTCACAGACCCTCAATAAGGAAAACTACATGGCTATCCCTTTTGTACCAGATTGACACTAGCACAAATTAAATAAATAGTTAAGCAATTAAATTTGTTTTATGCATGTGGCAGTCACACCAATTCATTTATCATTTCAAGAAATCACAGTATGGCAAAATTTGAGAACCATTCATATAATGCATCTGAAGAGTTTTGAATCTCTAGAGTTTTGAAATTCTAAATATCAGGAGTGTCTGCATTTATATCACAAATACTCTTCAATTTTCAGATGCACACAAGGGTATAGATGGGACCAATGCACACTATATATTATGCATATAGATCCTTCATCCCAAACTGAAATGCTACATGGAGATGCCAAACAGAGTGAAAAAATGTATTCTGAGATGTTTACTGTTATCCAAATCCCTTAATGTTCAGTTGTACAATGGAGCTATGGATATTCTGTATGTTACGCTAAATTAAAAAAATCCAAGTGCTATTTTGATTTGTCTTGCTTGCTCCCATGCTCTCCTATTTTATATGTGTGTGAGTGTGTGTGTGTACGTATATACATACATACATTTTTCTAATGAATGAAAACAGAAAATCCTTTGTTAGTACTAAGAAAATTCCATTCATTGAACATTTGGCACAGCTGGATTTAATGCTTTTAAAGCAGAAGACTGATCTAATGGAAATTTTCATAGAAAACAGACGTTTTCAGATGCCCCGATTAAGCTCCAAACCTGCAATGTTTTGATTTAAGAAATGAAATATACTCAACCTACAAAGAAATCTTTCAATAAACATAACCTTAAATAAATTAAGTTTCTGCTATAAGGGAAATTAATGATCACTCTACTTTATGGATGCTAGTTTTCTGCAGATGAAAGCTAATAGTTGCTTGGCTGTTCCTAACCACAACCATTAATGAGTTTCGACTACAAAAATACAATCAAAGGAACCTTGTATTTCAAATTTCCTATGCAAATTAGAAATCAATATGAATAGCTATCAAATGATAACCTGACTGATCCACAATACTAAAATTGTACGCATATGTATTAAACATATTTGACAATGTTTTTAAAAACCAAAAACTGTGAAGTAGACTTTCAAGTTCATTCACTGAAAAAAGACCAAGCTCAAAAGCAAATAATCTGACTCATGTAGCTTAGAGACTGTATTAAATTTATAACAGTGGTTATATGTTCATCCTATGAGTACTAAATCCACAATCTTTATATTATATGTCCACAGTACTATTAGGATGAGAAATACAACAAGCAATTTGACAGATCAGGCATGTTTCATAAAATTGTATGTGGTCCACTTTTTCTTCATTAATTACTTGCTATATATTTCTTGCACTTTTTTCTTATCCATTTAATAGTAAGCATTATGACATTTTAAGATGTATGTGTTTAATATAGCACATGTTTTTATGAACTCCTGTCAACTCAGTTAGAAATTGAAACTTCAATATGGAAAATCCACATATTAAAGTCCCAATTTGACACTTCATTCACTGACAAGTCCATTCTGGTTAGTTTGTCCCAGCCCAATTAATTTCTAAGGTTATGTTTTGCATCTCTATGTGCATTCTGTTCAGTTCGCAGAGGAAAGATAGGATACAAAGAATAAATTTATATTAAATAATTAAAACATTTATCTCAAGTAGTTAACATAATATAGGGAATGGGCTGTCACTAGAAATCAAATAGAAATGAAATGAACAAAATATTGACAGTGATAATTACACAATGACTAACTCACAAACTATACTGTTGATAAATAAGGTAACATTTACATCATTTGTGGAATTTGTGACATAAACAATTTGAAAACTATTACTTTTACCATAATTTCCTTACATGATTACAACTCTAGAAATTGTACAATTAAAATTATATAAATTATACTTCTATTTAGTGTCTTGTTTCTTCTCTCCCCACTAACTACAAGTAGTCCTCAAACTTAAAAAAGTTCATTTAGTGACCAATCAAACTTAAAATGGCACTGAAAAACCTGACTTATGACAGTTTTCGAATTACAATCATTGCAGCATCCCCATGGTCACATGATCAAAATTCAGACACTTGGCCACTGACTTGTATTAATGACGGCTGCATTATCCTGGGTTCATGTGATCACCTTTTGTTACCTTCTGATAAGCAAAGTCAACAGGGAAGCCATATGCACTTAGCAACTCTGTTACTAACTTAACAAGTACATGATTCACTTAACAAGTATAGCCAGAAAGGTTGTAACATGGGGCAAAACTTTCTTAACTGTCTCACTTAATAACAGAAAGTTTAGACTCAATTGTGGTCATAAGTCAATGACTACCTGCATATGCAACATTTACTTCTTCTTTACCCAGCAGTCCTTATCACGCTTTTGTCAATCACCTCTTTTTTCATCTTAATGATTCTGTACTTGATATAATTATTGCATTATCATACCTGGCACACATTGAATCAAGTTAGCAAGCATTGCACTAAAATGGGCTCTCATGTCCTTGAGAATCTCAACTTCTTTATCATTTTCAGCTTCCAACAACATGCGAGTTAGGTCAACATATTCTAAGAACAAGGCTCCCAGTGCTAGGGTATCTCGTTCCAAGGCACCATTTGTACTGTAACAAAGGAAAACATTAAGGAATCATCCAGACTCGCAGGGGTCACCAACCTTTCAGACTTCAGGGACCATTAAATTCATAATTTTAAATCCTGCAGACCACTAATATGATTTTTTTTAAAGATAAATAGATTCTCATGCAATATAAAAATGCAAATAAATTTTTCGCATGGACTACCAGTGGTCTGCAGACCACCAGTTGGTGACTGCTGATCCAGCAGAAACCACAAGTGTGCATGACAGACTAGGATTTACAGGATAACTGTCAAAACTGTTATCAAGAATTAAAAGGAAACTATATAGCAACTACGTTGGAAAAAGCTATTTTAACAAGAAATGACTGTGATCAGACAAGTAATTGGCATCATCACAGGGTTTTCTTCTATTTGAAAAGCAGTATATCCTACCTATCACTTATCACACCAGCATCAGCAAGTAATTCAAAAATTCGCAACAGCTGTAATCGTAAGAGATCTCTGCGCTCACGACGTTTCTTATTCTGTATTGCAGAAAAATAGGGCAATATTAGTTATATCTACTCTCTCCATGTTGGTCTTAAAAATAAAACCTAGCTGAGTAGTTCAGAATCTGTTTTAAAGCTATCCAGCAATTTTCAAATGGTCTGAACTTTCTAACACTGAAGATGGTTCTCCAGAGAACTGGCAGTGGCACACCAATTGCGGGGGGGGGGGGGGGGGGGGGGGGGGGGGGGGGGGGGGGG